TAACTCTGGGCAATCTATATATAGGTAACTCTTTTCTGAGCCTCGCCTTTTTTCTTGGTATAATGGGGGTGAGAACACCTGGATGACAGGAAATCTGTCATCTCCCTTAATTAGGTCAAGTCCAGCATTCAGCTGTCAAGTTGGGCGAATGAGTTTGGGCTTCTTATGCCCAAGAACTGCTTCCTCCTTGGAGCGCCTACTATAATGAGAATCGACACAATCCTGCTCCCCTGTCAGTGCTCTGTGTAGACATGCATTATTTTTTAAATCCCCTCAAACACAGGTATGCAGTCTATTAGAGAAGAATTGGGTTTGATGACCTGGATCTTCAGCAACCCTAGTACAGCACTGTCAGTGGAATTGGGGTGTGGGGAAGAGCACATGGAAATCAGAATTCAGATGTGAAGGAATCGTCAGTTTGAATTGCTGGTAGTGAGTGTTGGCTACTCTCAAGGAAGTTGCTGGGAAGGAGAAAAGACATTGAAGGCAGTAGCTAGGGGAACATCAGGACTGAGAGGGGGACAATTTAGGCTGGAAGAACTTTGAGTATATTTTAAACTAAGGGCCAGGGTCTAGAGGAGAAAAATAGAATATACAAGTGTGAGTAAGGGGAGCTATGTAATTAAACAAGGCAGGAATGGAGAAGCCTAGCTGAGAGGATGGTCATGGGCAGGATGAGGAAGATGCTGGAGAGGCTGCCCTGGGCTGTGGCCTCCCTTCTGGGTTCCTGGTGGGGGTCTGCCTCAGCCCAGCTGGCGCCCTGAGATCCTTCCATAGCGAGAAGTCCAGAGGAGAGAACCACCCCGATGAAGAGGTGTTGCTGCCCCAACTGACCATGCACAACCCTTGGGACCTCCTACTCATATGCTGATTTGAGTTGGATGTGGACCCTTCATCACCAAGAACTAAAGATATTTCTCTTTGGTAAGAAAGGATAAAGGGAAGGATGAAGAATCGGAGACACTTTGGAGAGAGAAGGGAAGTTGTAGGAGCTCCTGTCAAGTGATGTTTTTCTGAGGGAATTGGAGGCGAGGTGATCTGCAGAGAATGGCAATGCAAAGCTGGGGTTCAGCCTTGGGGCAATGGAAGAAGGGCAGAGAGCGAGCTATCAAAGGCATTGATTGATCAATTATGGGAGGACCCAGGGGAGCCCGAAGACTTCAAGGATCTGGTCAAGTTTTACAATTTTCTCCAGCCACATAGTTCAGGGGCAGGAGGAGAGAGGGCGTTGGCATGGCCTTCCCAGGGATACTGACTGGCCAGAACAAAGGGGTGCACATATCCAGGATGTTGGCTTTTCAGTGGCTGACTGAGGTATCCAGGTAGGCTGAACTCTCTTTATAGAATGATGAGAAGGAGAAAGGGAGGAAAGGGCAAGGGGGGCCTGGAAGAAGGAGAAGGAGAAGGAGACGGAGGAGGAGGAGGAGGATGAGGAGGAGGAGGAGGAGGAGGGAGAGAAAGAGCGAGAGCGCTGTACCCATCAGCTAATTTTATGTTTCTCTCTCTGTTTCGTCTGCTTTGACTTTCTGTTTCTTCTGCTCATTTCTCTCTTGTGCCTCTTAGTCTCTCTTCTGACTGTTTCCACCCTTGGTCTCTGTCTCTGTTGTCTCCATCCCTTCCCTTTTTGGGCTTCAACTGTACCAGTTGTCAGTTCTGCCCACAGCCAGGCCAGGGTTAACAGGGAGGGAGATCTCATTTCATTTCCTGCCTCCACCCTCCAATTAAAATTGGTCCTTTCACATCTCATTTCTACTTCCTTCAGGTGTGTCTCTCAAGTCCCCAGACCAGTGATCTCCAGGCCTGGAGCCTTCTAGGGGAGGCGGACCTGGACCCGGGCCCGAGAGCCTTCACAGTAAGTGGCCTCACTCCTCTCTTCTGTCACAGGATCCATGAGGCTGTGTTTCACTCTATTTTCCCATCTTGGTTTCTTGGGCTTGGCTCTTTGCTGTAATGTTTCTGTCTTTAGCCTCAGCTTGGGTAAGGCTCTGGGAGAGACCAACTCCTATTCCTACCTGTTCTTCCAGACTCTGAGAGGACTCACCGAGCAATGGGCATGGGAAGCTCGGAGGGAGAGGAAAGGTGCACGGAAGAGAGGCTCCCAGCAGTCACCTCCTTACCTAGCCCTCTCATGCTCCGGGGATGCTCTTACTCATCTTTTATGGAGAATACAGGGACCACCAGACATGATTACCCTTCCAGTGTGGTTATAGTATACAGTGTGGTTATATTAGTTAAATCAGTGTTCAGTGGCTATGTTATTATTTCTATGCAAATGTTATTTACACTTGAGTGTTGTAATTTGCTATTATGTAAAATCTGACTTCCTTTTTTGTTTTTCCTTTTTTTTTTTTTTTTCTAGAGCTAGTAGTTTCCTTGTTTCACCTTTGTGTAAATCTCCTGGTATTTGTGGTTAGCTTTTCTCATACCTTCTAATGGCCCCTCAGTAGGATGCTTTTGAAGGCCAATGGCACCAGTAAACCTCTCCATCCATCCTTTTCCCCTTGGAGAGTATTTATCAGAACCCATCCTGCTCGGTCAGGGCTTCCTGGGCCATCAGCTGCCCAGGCCCTCGGACCAGCTGCCTTCCAGGCCTTGGTTTTGCTCCTTGTTTGGGTTTCTGCTTCATGAAGCTCCAGGCTTCCGCCTTTTTCACTTTGGTGGATGTGAGCATGTCATCCAGTGGTTTCAACAACTGAAAGAGAGGGTGCCACGGCCAAGGAGGTGGTGGTGACGGCACACTGATTCCTTTGTTTCTCTATCAGACTGCCCCAGCCTGGCCGGGAGTCACGTTACAGAGGAGGGTTGGGGTTCAGAGGGAGATGGGGCATCATTTTCTGTTGCTGACAGAAGTTTTCTTCAGCCCCTGCCTTGTTTCTCAACTGTAATATATTGAAGAATGAGGGCAAGTTCTCTGCTGGTGAGGTCAGGTGGAATGTGTAGGTGTTTGTCTTTCTTCACCTGGTCCAGCCCACAGGGCCTGGTGAGTTTCATAGGCTAGGTGTCCGGGGGTTCACACCCAGCCCTTTAACACCAGCCTCACCAGGCAGAAGTGAACCAGTAAGCTTGGGCGAGTGCAGTGGTCGGCAAACTCATTAGTCAATAGAGCCAAATATCAACAGTACAACGATTGAAATCTCTTTTGAGAGCCAAATTTTTTAAACTTAAACTATATAGGTAGGTACACTGTTATTAACTTAATTAGGGTACTCCTAAGGCTTAGGAAGAGCCACGCTCAAAGGGCCAAAGAGCCGCATGTGGCTCGCGAGCTGCAGTTTGCCAACCACAGGGCTAGTGGACCAGGGCAGGCGTGGGAAGCTGTGTGATGAGAAAGGGGATCTGTTTCAGTCAGTTCCCAGGACCTTGCTTGGAGCTCACCGTCGGGGGCTCACCTCCCACTCTCCCAGCCTCCAGCCACTGAACAGCCTGGAGGGCACATGCAGGCAGGCTCCAGTGCTGTCTTTTGTTCTTTCCGGGCTGCCCACTGCAGAGATTTGCAGGGGAGCCTGAGGCTTAATTGCAAATTGCTCCTGCCTTTCCCAATTGCCCTGTGACTTGCAGCCAAAGTCGTATCCTAACAGAGTCCTACAATTTTCTCTCTTCTTTTGGAATGTACTCAAAATGCTGATATTGGAAGCTAAACCACTTTCCTGGTTTCCAAATACCTTTTGCTCACTCTCAGACATTGTACTACCGAGATGGCTTCCCCACTGGCTTTAGATCACAGACATAATTCTGAACTCAGAAAGTTTTCTATCGATGGTTGGTTTTCTTCTTCTGAGGGCTGGCACCCTGCCCACATTTTCGTTCTCTGTGTCAAATACAACGTAAGACCCCGCTCTCCTTTCTCTGCTGCTTTCATCTCCACATCTCCCTCCAGGTTCGGGTAGCAGTTAGCCTAAGTACCTGGTTTCTGTGCCCGTCTACTGTGTCTTTGTGTTTTCATCTCTTTTTTTATCTGCCCAGGTCATGGACCAGAACTTAAATCCCGCCTCTATACCCACTGGTCTAGCTCCAGAAAATTCTGAAAATTTCTCATCTGGAGAGATCCCCAAGACAGTTTACATGATGGTCAAAGGGATAATATATGTTCATCACCCAGCACAAAGTGGGCCCTCAAAGCAGCCATTTCTTTTATATCATGGTTTAAACTTGTCTCCTTATCTGAATGACAAGACTTCCTGCTTTGAAATCCTGTGTTACTGAGTCCATGAGGCTGATGTGTAAGGCCAATGGGTTGATGAGTATAAATTGTTTTTTTTTAAATTTGTACTTTAAAAAAATATTTTTTAATCTATTTCAGAGAGGAAAGGAGAGGGAGAGAGAGATAGAAACATCAATGATGAGAGAGAATCATTGATTGGTTGCCTCCTGCACACCCCCAACTAAAAATCAAGCTTGAAACCTGGGCATGTGCCCCTGACTGGACTTGAACCTGGGACCCTTCAGTCTGCAGGCTGACTACTAAGCCAAGCCAGCTAGGACAGTACAGTTTTTTTGTTTTTGTTTTTTGCCTTTTACCTTCTTGCCATATCTCTGCAGTCCCAGAAAAATAAAATTGTTTTTTTAACCCTGACTGTCTAAGGAGGCATACAGGGCCTGATAAACACTGTGTGTGAGAGGGAGGAAGAAGGGAGGGGAGAGATAGAGAGACAGATAGAGATCCACATGTCAGGGCCAGCACGACAGGTTGAGCCAGGCTGAGGCAGGGAGGTGGGAATTGAGAAAAGAAAGAAAGACAGGAAAGCGGAGTTGGGAGGACCCCAGTTCTCTCGAGGAACGGAAGCGAGTTTATTAGCCACACAATGCCTTTTATACACAAGACACTGAATAGGAGGTCTGTCAAGAGGAATGTATTCTTTGTTCCTCTTAATCTCTAAGGGAGGGACACAACAGAAGGACAAGTTCTTGGTACAGCATATCTCAGTAAATAGTTACAGACTTCTTGGTAAGCCATGAAAGGCTATTCTCATTCTACAAAGGTTGCTCTTATTCTACTGATAACCGCCATCCAAACAAGTCTGGGAAAACTGTGTGGGTAAGGGTCCCAGCCTTGCTAGCCCCTTCAGGTGCAAGGACCTTGCCAGCTTACATCTGGCCCCCAACATCCACACACCTACACACCTTACTTCTACTTGCCACACAATGACGAAGAGGCATGCAGGGAATCGCCCTGCCTTTCTTGGAACTTGGCATGCCTCTCCGTCTCCCTGGCTGTGCTCCGTGGCTTGCCGAGCACCCAGAAAGCAGGGCAGACTGAGGCGCCTTCGGCTGCTCTTCCCTCAGCAGTGCACTCCCCTTTTTTTCTCTCCCCTCTTCTCCAGGTCACAGGTCTGAACTTGACCCTTCACACCAAGTACCATGGCCCTGGCCCTGACCAGCAACCCACAGGAGGCATTGCTTTTGGCCTTGAGTGACCTTGATGAAAATGACTTCAAGATATTAAAGTTCCACTTACGGGACAGAACCCTGCTTGGGGGCCAGGGGCTGGCCCGAGGGGAGCTGGAGGGCCTGAGTCGGGTGGACCTGGCTTCTCGGCTGGTTTTGAGGTATGGAGCGCAGGAGGCTGTGAAAATGGTGTGCAAGGTGCTGCAGGTCATGAACCTGTTAGAACTCGTGGACCAGCTCAGCCACATCTGTCTAAATGGTGAGTATAGCAGAGGACAAGGGGAGGTCAGGGTGGCACTGGACTCCCCCTCCCCCATGACATTTCTAAAACATTTCTTAGGTCTTCTTTCACTCTTGCCCTGTGATGCCTGGGAGCCCTTGTGCCTGAGGGTCCTAGTGGCCCTAGTGGTCTCCAGCTAAACACTCATGACTGTGGGGTGAAGGGTGGTAGCCGAGGGTGGGTTTTATTTATAGAAAGATTAGGGGATCTTATAGCCACTATCTCCAGTTGTGGTGCCAGAGAGGGAGAGAGTAGAGAAAGGGGCTTGGAGACTGGGGGAGGTGTTGGCAAAGGGTTTCTTGCTAACCAGAGTAATGGCATCTGGGCGTGGGTCAGTCCTCTCCCTGTGCTCTCCTGCAGGCAGCAGAGAGGACAGCCTGCTCCTGTGCCTGGCTCTTCCAGGGAACTGGTGGGTGACGGTGCCCTGGAGAGTGGGGTGGCATGGAGCCCAAGTGGCCTCCTGTCCCTTCTCCTGGAGACAAGGGAGTGTCTGTGGTGCCAGTGCTCCCTCCACAGGCTCCTTTCATGCCCGAGAGCACCTGTGCCCAGACATGGGAGTTTCCAGAGACTCAGAGCCACGCTCCTGCTCAGCAGCTGGTTTATCTGCAGCCACTGACTGACCTTTACCTAGAACAGCCTCCTGTGGCTTCACCATCCTGCAGCTCCCCTTCCTTTTGTCCTCTCTCTTCTCACCACTTCAAATGCACATGCATTCACATACACGCAGACTTTTGCATATACACATATTCTTACAAACACATACTTGCTGATGCCCGTTGACATGCCTTCCCTACACAAAAATACACAAACTTCCATAAGCATGCTTCTATGAGCACGTATGGATACAAGTGTTCACTACTTCCCACACATATTCACACACTAAACACTTGTTGCACACTTACACTGATGTGCATGTGAATATCGCACACATTAATATGCACATGTGTGCATGCACACACTCATCCTATCTAATAAAAGAGTAATATGTAAATTAACCATCACTCTGCGACAAAGATGGCGGTGCCCATAGTGGCCGGAGCAGGATGCTGGCGGCATCGCCCTGGCAATGCGAGCCCAGCATCCACACCCCGGCCGTGCAGAGGAAGGGGAGGAGCGAGGGACTCTGGCGTCATTGCACGCTGGGCTGAGGAACCTCCCCCCCACTGTGCACGAATTTCATGCACCAGGCCTCTAGTACATATATATGTACAGTGGTCCCTCCCCACGAAGCCAGATATATAACCTTCATGGGGATACAAGTTAGAGAGCATAGAAGATGAGCGTAAAGAGCAGTGTCCAGAGTTTGCAGGGCCATTTTGTCTTTTTTTGTTCCCATCTCACTACCTAATGCACCATGTGTCTGGCTCAGATTACAGAGAAACATACCGAGAGTACGTACGCTGCCTGGAGGAGAGACAAGAAGAGGGAGTCAGCCGCACCTACAACCAGCTGCTCCTGGTGGCCATTGCCAGCCCGGGAAGCCCTGAGCCTGAGCAGGAGCAGGGCTCTGTCACAGTGGAGGCTCTGTTTGATCCGGGGGAGATGCCCACCCCAGGCCCAGCCACAGTGGTGCTGCAGGGACCCGCTGGCACAGGCAAGACAACACTGGCAAGAAAAATAGTGCTGGACTGGGCCACTGGCACGCTGTACAAGGACCGGTTTGATTATGTCTTTTACGTGGGCTGCAGGGAAGTGGTCCTGCTGCCGGAGGGCACGCTGGACCAGCTCCTCCTCTGGTGCTGCGGGGACAGTAAGGCGCCCGTCACTGAGATCCGGAGGCAGCCGGAGCGGCTCCTGTTCATCCTGGACGGCTACGATGAGCTGCAGAGGCCCTTTGCCAAGAGGCTGAGGAGGCCGGGGCCCAGCCCCGCGCAGGACACGCTGCGCCGGCTCATCCGGAGAGAGGTGCTTCCCACGTGCTCCCTGCTCATCACCACGCGGCCCCTGGCTCTGCGGAACCTGCAGTCCTTGCTCAGACAACCGCGCCATGTCCAAGTCCGAGGCTTCTCTGAGGAAGAGAGGGAGAAGTATGTCCAGGCCTATTTCACAGATGGGGAGCAAGCCCAGAAGGCCTTTGACTTCATACGTGGAAATGACGTTCTCTACCAAGCATGTCTGGTTCCAGGCATCTGCTGGGTGGTCTGTTCCTGGCTGAAGGGGCGGATGGAGAGAGGCGGGGAGGTCTCGGAGACTCCCAGTAGTGGCACCGACATCTTCATGGCCTACGTCTCCACCTTCCTGCCTCCCAATGACAACGAGGATCCCTCCGAGCTCACCCGAGACAGGGTCCTGAGGGGTCTGTGCTCCTTGGCAGCCGAGGGGATCCAGCACCAGAGGTTCCTGTTTGAAGAAGCTGACCTCAGGAAGCACAGTTTAGATGGGCCCAGCCTGGCTGCTTTCCTGAGCAGCCACGATTACCAAGAGGGGCTTGACATCAAGAAGTTCTATAGCTTCCGCCACATCAGCTTCCAGGAGTTTTTTCACGCCATGTCCTACCTGGTGAAAGAGGACCAGAGCCAGCTGGGGGAAGAGTCCCTCAGGGAGGTGAACAGGCTGCTGGGTGACAGGGAGCAGGCGGCGGGGGAGGAGATGACCCTCAGCATGCAGTTTCTATTGGACATATCAAAAAAAGAGAGCTCCTCCAACTTGGAGCTCACGTTCTGCTTCAAAATCTCCCCCTCGATAAAGCAGGATCTGAAGAATTTCAAAGAGCAGATGAGCTCTCTAAAGCATAACAGGACCTGGGAGTGGGACTTCTTCCTGAATGAGGCTAAAATGAAGAGTCTGGCAAACTGTGTTCAGATGAGCAATGTGGCGTTTAAGGTGGGACATTCAAATGAAAAGAAATCCCACAGCAGGAGCTCATTTTCTGTCACAACCAGCTTGAGTGATGCCAAGAAAGAGGAGCGAAAATGTCTAGTTGTGAACGAAAGGAATGTGGCAGGGACACAGAAGCAGGCTGCTAATGGGAAAAGCAGAGGGAAGAGGAACTAGAGACCAGGATGGTAGAGGTAGGAGTAGGACAGAAAGCACACAAATGGAGACACTAGAGCTGATGGTGAGGTGGAGAGACAGAGGGAGAGGGAAGACCGTAGAAAGGAATGGAGAGATGTGAGATTGAGTTAATGAGCACAAGAGTGGAAGGACAGAATAACAAATAGAAAAGAGAAATAGATAGAGGGTCAAGAGATTTGGAACATAGGACGTGGGGAGAGCCATGTGGAATGAGTCCTTAGGAACAACCACGTGTCAACAGTGGCTCAGGTTTAGTTGTTTAGCACCGCCCACCCCCCAAGGCTGTTTGTAAATTCCCCAAATGTAATCTTATGAGGGTCTGACATTTGACTTTTCTATAAAAATAAATTCCTTAATATAAGAAAATGTGGACTGTGCTCACTCTATAAGATAATGTGAAGCATATCAATGTCAGCATTTAAAGGAAATGTACTGTGATATAATGCAATGTCCCTTTGACTCTGTATTTGTGATCAATTGCTGCTTAAATAGTATCTTTCCATCTTTCTAGATGCTTTAGAATATCCATGCTGGAAATGAGCGATGGCTTGTCACAGACATTTGGTCTTAGAAGCTATACTGTAACTTGACTTACCTCTATGCTAATAACATGCCACTGTTGTCTCCAGCTGTACCATTAACCGACTCCTTTTTGGAAAGAGCAGTCATTTCTAAGCACTAAGCAAAGCATTTTCCTGTTTTGGTTCCCTCTGTATATAAAAGAAGAAGAAGAAAAGGGATTATAGATGTAGGCGTGGTCAGGTCCCAACCCTCATTTCACAGATGAGGAAACTGAAATTCAGTCAGGAGCCCCATTCATTTCTGGGGTTTGTAAACACCCTCAGAGACCCTGTGCAGGCACGTGAACCTCCCCTCATCCTGCTGTTGCTGCTGGCTCCAGCGCAGCTGAGAGCGATGCTGCCTCAACTCCCGGTGCCCCACAGAAAGTACCGACGCTCCTCACACATTTTTACTGCTGTCATGACTCTTCATGAGTTGATTCCACGTGTGCCAATTGCAGCAATCTGCTGCACGTGGCCAGACATCTGAATCCAGGAAACTCAGCCCTGACTGGTCAGCTTCCTATGCCATGAGAACAATTATTATTAAGTCTTCTTCTCACAGGAAGCTTGGTGGCTCTACATTTGGTAATAATATTCATAGCATGTTGAACACAGACTGCTTGTATATATAGAATGTGTAAGAAACAATATGTGTGTGCATGTACTTCTTTATACAGAGAAATTTGTGCTGGATTACTGAAGAGGCTAGTTGGCACCCACTGGGCTAGGCTGTGTTGACCCCTAAAGAGCTTGGATGTTCTCGGCAGGCCAGCTCTTGGATGTCGTAGAGAATTTGGGAACAATGAAACAGGTGCCCAGCCACACTGCTGGGTTTTCATGTGGCCCAAGAGGTCTATTTTATAAAAACATGGTTCTAACTCCAATTGGGGTTTAGAGAAGTTATTTCACTTAGGATTCACATTCAATTCAAACTAACTTTAACAAAAATAAATGACTTACTGTATTCATTTATATAAAAAACCTGACTTCCAGTTTTAGGTACGTCTTGCTCATTCTAACAGTACCATCAAGGCTTTCACTCTCTCTCTTCTGCGTCCTGGTTAGAGGTGCCTTTCTTTGGCTCTCATTTCAGAAAGTAATCTTCACCTGAAACCATATTTACAGTCAATAATCCCAAAGGAAGACAAGATTTTTTGCTAATGGCTGTAGCAAGGAATTGGGGGAGGGTCTGACTGACCCTGGTATGTGCCACACCTTGAACAGTCCCCGTGGTCTGGAAGATGAACTCTGATGGGCTAGACCTGAGTTTCATGGCTTAGGTCACATGGCCATACTTTCTAGGTCACTCTGCCACACCCCTAGGACTGAGTACGAAAGGATCAACACCTCCAGAAATGCATGGAATGGGAGAGTGACTCCTAAAGGAAAGGATTTTGAACAGAAAAAAATAATATGTCACACAGCTATGTACACAGATACAGTGTGTCTGATGGACTGGGGTTCCCTGAGGGGGCATGACCCTCTGTGCAGAAATGCAATCCCTTCCTTATCTACTGATCCCACTGCCTGCTGATGGGACTCACTCTTGCTTTTCTTCTGATTTCCCTAAGAGACTCAGGAAGATGATAAGCTCTGTGTGTCATACTTCCAGGTGCCAATGAGTGTACTAACATGACAGAGGGGACTGAAGCGTCCACGTAGGGCTCTTAGCAATGCCTTTAAAGCCAGACTCTCGGCCTGTTCAATGAAGGGAGAATCAATCCAGAGAATATCCCTTCATTAGTAGAATATGTGGCTATTCATCCCTTGGATCCTTTTATACCCTTTCCCCCATGATTTCTGGACTTGGGAACCAGGCCTCAAACTGTGCAGAGTCCTTGAAGTGATTCATTTATGGACTTCTCCTTGGCCTGGTTTCTGTTTATTCTCTATTCTTTCTTTTACCAAGATTTGAAATCCTCTCTTCTTCATGCACCACATCCATGTCCTCCAGCACTATCAATGCACCCCCTAAAGTATTTCTTGTTTTGTTCATCCTTTCCACCCTCTCTATCCGTCCTTCCAGTCTGTCTTGCCAAAACAACGAATAAAATTTGATTGGGTTTCAGCTTTCATCTTCCTCCCTGTATTTATACAATAATTTAAAGAGAACAAAGTGCTTTCTCATATGAATAGGGAGAGGCATTTGAGTGTTGACTCACCATCATTCATTGGCCTCCTTCCCCTCCCAACAGTACCTTCATTTCTCTTGGGGATTTTTTTCATTAAACCGTTTTAGGTATGTATCGTTGGGACTGATGCTATTATCAGTTATGGGGTAGGGACCATGAAAAGTGCATATTAAGCAGCATTTCCCAGCCTTGTCATAGTCACAGTGTCCGGTGTATGATTTCACAGTGAGAAATAAGGGAGGGGTCCTTGGATTGATTTTTGTGAATGAGAATCTTTTTTTTTTTTTTTTTTTTTTTTTTTTGCAGGATAACTGGTATGTTTCCATAAGACACAGATTAGAGAAGATGTATCCCAAAGTGGTGTTGGCAGACTTAGTGCCTCTAGGAGGGGAGAGCTTCCTTGAGAATAGAATCTAATCTAAGAAAACAGAGATAAAAAAATAGAGAAAGAAAACCCATGCAGGTCCTGGTTACATCATCAGAGTTCTGGATAAAGCCATGCCTGCAACTTCATTCATCCCTGCATTCTGCTGGGACTGAGTCAATGGTCTCAATGATTATTCAGGACAGAATAGTCCTGGCTAGGTAGATTAGTTGGTTAGAGCATTGTCCCAATATGCCAAGGTTGCGGGTTTGAGTCCCAGTCAGGGCACATATAAGAATTAATGAAGGCATACATAAAGTGGAACAACAAATCTGGAAAAAAACGTACAGAATGCCAATAAACATATGAAAAAATGTTCAACATACTAATCACCAGAGAGATGAAAATGAAAATTAAAACTACAATGAGGTCACCTCACACCTGCCAGAATGGCTACCATCAATAAATCAACAACATGTGCTGGCGAGGATGTGGAGAAAAGGGAACCCTAGTACACTGCTTGTGGGAATGCAAGCTAGTGCAGCCACTGTGAAACATGGTATGGAATTTCCTCAAAAAATTAAAAATGGAACTGCCTTTTGACCCAGCAATATATTCTGGGAGTATATCCTAAGAATCCCCAAACACAAATCAGAAAGAATATATACACCCCTATGTTCATAGCTGCATACAATAGCCAAGAGCTTGAAACAACCCAAGTGCCCATCAGCAAAGGAGTAGACAAAAAAGCTGCGGTACACCTACACAATGGAACACTATGCAGCTATATGAAAGAAGGAACTCTTACCATTTGCAACACCATGAATATTATTATGCTAAACGCAATAAGCCAGTCAGAGAAAGACAAACATCATATGATCTCACTTATATGTGGAATCTAATTAACAAAATCCTATATAATAAAGAGGTAATATGCAAATTGACCCTCACGCCCTTGCATCACAAGATGGCCACCCCCACATTGTCACAAATGGCCGCCCCATGTCATCACAATATGGCTGCCACAAAGATGGCCACCCCACGTCATCACAAAATGGCCACTGCAAAGATGGCCACCCCCATGTCGTCACAAGATGGCTGCCCCCCCATTGTCACAAGATAGCCACCACAAGATGGTCACCCCACATTCTCACAAGATGGCCACCCCCACGTTGTCACAAGATGGCTGGCAGGGGAGGGCAGTTGGGGGAACTAGGCCAGCAGAGGAGGTCAGTTGGGGGGGGGACCAGGCCTGCAGGGGAGGGCAGTTGGGGGCGATTAGGCCTGCAGGTAAGGGCAGTTGGGGGTGATTAGGCCTGCAGGGGAGGGCAGTTGGGGGCAATCGGGCTGGCAGGGGAGCAGTTAGGTGTCAATCAGGCTGGCAGGGGAGTGGTTTGGGGTGATCAGGCTGGCAGGCAGAAGCGGTTAGGGGCAATCAGGCAGGCAGGTGAGTGGTTAGGAGCCAGCAGTCCCGGATTGTGAGAGGGATGTCTGACTGCCTGTGGGATTTGGCCTATCAGGCCTAAACCGGCAGTCAGACATCCCCCAAGGGGTTCCAGATTAAAGAGGGTGCAGGCTGGGCTGAGGGACACCCCCCACCCCCACCCCAGTGCACAAATTTCGTGCACTGGGCCTCTAGTAAAATGATAAACAAAATAGAACCAGAGGCATAGATACAAAGAACAGACTGACAGAGGTCAGATGGGATGAGATTGGGAAGGACTATATAAAAGAGGGTGAAGAGAGTAGCCAAAGAGCATATATATGTAATCCATAGACACAGGCAACAGAGTGTGATGGCCAGGGGAAGGGTGGCTGGGGCTGAGTGGAGGTGGGCAAAAGGGGGAGGAAATAGGGGACTTTTGTAATAGTGTTGACAATAAAAAAAAAAGACAGTATCGACTGGACTTTGAGTCCTTTGGTTCTTACACATACTCTGTGCGATTAATAACATTATTTTTATCTTTATATTTTTTATTTGATATACTTTTATTTTGACATTTCATAAAATAATTAAATTAGTGAATTAATATTATTTTACCATTTTAGAAGGAGATTGTGATAGTTGCAGTCATTGTATAGAGGGCAGTTTGAGATTTGCAATACTAGGTAATTATTTCCTCTTCTGCACTCATGTGTGTTTTTTAAATCTTTATTGTTGAAGTATTACATATGCCCCTCTTTTTTCCCCATTGATCCCTTCTAGCCCACCCATCACCAACCCCACTCTCAGCCTTCACCACATTATTGTCTGTGTCCATGGCCTGGCCTTCTTGGTTCAGTGGTTGAGGTCGACCTATGAACCAGGAGGTCACAGTTAGATTCCCAGTCACTGGGCTCGATCTTCAGTAGAGGGTGTGCAAGAGGCAGCTGATCAATGATTCTCATCACTTATATTTCTCTCTCTCCCTTCCTCTCTGAAGTCAATAAAAATATATGAAAAAACCAAAAAACTTTATTTTAGCAGAAAAGCAAGAGCTAAAGAAGTTGTGAATTTGCTCGACATTATGCAGCTGGTTCAGATTTTTGTTGTTTTTTTAAAGTACGTTTTTATAGATTTTTAGACTGAGAGGAAAGAAGAGGGATAGATAGAAACATCAGTGTGTCATGGATCAGCTGCCTCCTGCATGCCCCTACTGAGGATCAAGCATGAAACCTGGGCATGTGCCCTGCTTGGGAACTGAACCTGGGACCTCTTGGTCTATGGGACGACGTTTAATCTACTGAGCCACACCAGCTGGGCCCCATGTTTTGATTTCAAATTAAAAAACCTCCAACTATAAAATCATCTGAATGACTGCTTCCCTCTCCCCCAATTTTCAGTGTTTCTTTCTACTAGAAAACATAAAACATTTTGGTAACAACATCTAGGTTTTCCACAAAGTAACTTTAATTTACTTGCCTTCATGTGCTTCCTATCAATGCAGAAACTGTCTACCCCAGGCAATAAGACCTTCCATCTCGATTATCCTGCCTTTGCTCATACCCTCACCCCTTTCTCCCTTCTTCACTCTGCCTGTTTACTAACTTTCACTCAGCCTCTGCTTTCGTTTCTTAAGGGGGAGGCCATGGTGGAATTGAGTCTCTTGAGCTGTTTATTCCCTGTAGAAACCGAAAAAAGTGTTGCTCCAATTTTGTGCATTGAGCTTTCTCAGGTCCATATGGGAAAGTCTACATCAATTTAGTGTTAGTTC